TTTAAGTCAATTAGCTTTCTTAAATGATGATATGTACACTAGGGTGGGAGTTGAGCTTCCCACTACTTTGCACCACAAAGAGAATTCTTCTTGAATGAATGGGCGAGATGATTGATATGTCTACTGATATTTGTTCTTAAGGTTAGCAACATTTTAGCTAATAAAAAAAAATTATCAACTTTGAAAAGTTATTTTATGAATCAAATAGGGTATAATAACCAGCTATTGCTAAAGTTACAAGCATTTTATATTTATTATTCATATATTTTACAATTTTTGTAGAACAATGTGTATAAATAAAAAAAATTAAACCTAAAAGTGATTTTCAAAATAGGTACACTTAATACTTTTTGTTAATATAATAAACATATTGGAAAGACGGCAACGATAAGAAAATTATTAAAATACACAGTTTCTTATAGCATAAATATTTTCCCATAGATTAAATATATTTAAGTAAAAAATAAAAATGAGTGTTTTTACTGCTTTAAGTACACTTGGCATCACCGTACATTTTTAGTTATTTCTCAAGCATGGACTCAAAAGAGATTAAGCTGCTAAGCATTAAAAAATCATCTTACTTTAAAATACCTCCTCATTTTAGGGTAAACAAGTTTATTTTTAAAAATCTTTGTGACTAATAAAGGAGGGAAAATGCCGCAGTGTAGCTGACTTCGAAAAGCTAAATAGAATCGGAGAAGGCACCTATGGGATCGTTTGTAAGTTTATCCTTATTCTCACTTATCCCCGTAGATCGAGCCAAGGATACTATTTCAAGAGAAATTGTTGCGTTAAAAAAAGTCCGCATGGAAAATGAAAGAGATGGTAAAATATACTATGCAGCACAGTTTCTAGGCATCCCTATTAGTAGCCTCCGAGAAATCACGCTTCTTCTTAGTTTAAAGCATCAGAATATAGTACATCTGCGTGAAATTGTGGTAGGAAGGAGTTTGGAGAGGTGAGAGTTTGTCTTTTTATCTGTAGCATATTTCTCGTCATGGAGTATTGTGAACAGGATTTAGCCAGCCTGCTCGATAATATGCCAAGTCCCTTTACAGAATCGCAGGTACAATCTTTCGATTCTCATTCAAAGATTAAATGCATAATGCTTCAACTTTTTAAAGGACTTCGTTATATGCATGAAAGCTATATCATTCATCGTGATCTCAAGGTATCCAATCTTCTAATGACGGACAAGGGGCTTGTAAAAATTGGTAATACCATCTACCTTGAAGCTTACCTACTATAATATGTTTTTCTCTATTTACAGCTGATTTTGGTTTGGCTCGTCCCTCCAACTCCCAAAATCCCATGACTCCTCGCGTTGTCACGCTTTGGTATGCCAAGTTTGTAAATGAAAAATTACTTTGGCTCAATATTGATTTTTTATTCTGAGATTCTTTTGTTTTGTAATTTTTCAGGTATCGTGCCCCTGAAGTCCTTCTTGGTGATCGTCATCAGACTAAAGCTGTAGATATGTGGTCTGCAGGATGCATCATGGGAGAACTTCTTTTGCACAAGCCACTTCTGCCCGGAAAGACCGAAGTTGATCAGTTGGAAAAAATAATCGATTTATTGGGCACACCAACAGAGAACATTTGGCCAGTAGGTATTCCTATTTTAAAAAATTATGTGTTTATTTCTCACTAATACTATTTTGATTTATCTTTTAAGGATATTCAGAAGCTGCCGATGATGGAAAAAATTACACTTAAAAAGCAGCCGTAAGCTCTTATCTCTTCTAATAATATCTTTAAAAACGTTTCCTAATCGTATCAACGCTTCATCAATGCTATCTTTAAATGGAAATGCATCAAATAATTAAGTATATTACGACTTATTTACTTTTCGTATTGGTTTGCGATTGTAGATCCTAGCACAATAGTTTCTATTATTTGGACTGGCCTATTTATTTTTATTCTGATTGAATTTTTTTTCAAATCCATTTTATTTCAGCTATAATAACCTAAGGCACACATTCTCTTGGCTGTCTGAGGCTGGCTTGCGCTTGCTTAACTTTCTTTTTATGTACGATCCTACCCGGAGAGCTCGAGCCCGTGAATGCTGTCAAAGCTCATACTTCAGGGAGCATCCTTTACGTAAGTGATATCTTGGCATCATTTTGCTGTCGTTTAACCATTAATTGATTCTCTCAAAATGATAATTATACTCATTAAAAATTCCATTAATGTAAATCCCGCAACATTCATATACTCACTCGGAATCCCACACATGAACATAGTATGACTACTCTGACCTATCTTTACCAATGCATGTGCACGCAATTTTTTTAGCCTGCGAGCCTGATATGATGCCATCGTTCCCTCAGCATCGGCTAAAACGCAAAGGGAGCCCC